AAAAAAAATTGAAACTAGCCCCGCCCCAAGGCCAGGTTCCACAATACACCCCCCCGCCCTGACATCTGGTTGCCATTCTCAATTGATGGGGAGGGGGGCTTGGCGGCGCGGGGCGTATTGTGGAACCTGGCCTTGGGGCGGCAGGGGGAGTAAATCCGGCCCTGCCTATGGGGTGCCCAGATTGGGCACACATAGCCACATGCCTTTTTAGCTCTGTAGAGAGTGCTTTAGAGCCTTGGTTCTCAACTGGTGGGTCGCGACCCCGTGTTCAGTGGGTCGCTGCATGCCGTCCACTTTTCTATGCGAGAGGCTCCTCAGTCTCCCCCTAGCTCAGTAGTGTCAGTTCTCACACTGGACAGACATTCAGAATTTGCTGCCTGGTGCGGAGTGTCATTTTGAGGTGCGATAGGCTGCAGCTATGGCCGAGAGGGAGCTCCATTCATACATGCATTGGTTACAGCTCCCTCGCATTCCCTGTAGAGGTGCCTGGACCGGAGTGACATCACATTCTAGCTCCTGGCACCTCTACAGGATGCGCAAGGGACAGAAAATGCACATGGATGGAGCTCAGTCACAGCACAGCAGCCCACATTGGACCCCAGGCTGAGGATGCACTCGTAAGGTAGGAAAACTGGGGGATCTTAAAAAAAATAAAAATTTGGGTGTGTGTGAGATTGTGTCTCTGGTTGTGTGCATCTGTCAGTGTTTTTGAGGGCCCATTCACACTAGTACAGTGTGTTAATTGAACAGTCCTGTGCGATTAACACACTGTACCATGTAATCGCACCTACTATGCATTCTGGTGTGGGAGGTGTGTTGCCTTGCCATTCATATAAATAGCACCCCAAACGCACCGCCCGTCCACAGTTCATCTCCTGCACCGGAAAACACACGGTACCGCAATGCCATGTGTTCCATTGCAGTGTGACTTGGGTCGTGACTTAATGACCAAGGACAAGTGTGGGTCCTGAGGCTACACAGGTTGAGAACCACTGCTTTAGAAGATGAATGCAACAACTGTGCAGATTGAAGAGTTCCAAAACTTTTGCCTTTTGCTTTATAGCATCTAACAGAGCTTCACAGTCTCACTAAATGTAAACAGTGCATCTCTGGCGTTACCCTGTTTTAGCCATGAAAGGGCATAAGGTGTCCCATGTATGTGCTGCCACTGAGATTTAGTACTAAGAGAGAGTTAACATGACTGACCTCAAAAAAGAAAGGTGGATTAGAGTGAATGAAAGAAGTCAAAATGTATAATTAGACAATGCCTTCATAGAATGTGTTTTATTAAACGTTTTGTACAAATAATCTTCTCTTCAAACTGTATATATTTATATTAAAACATAGAAAAGGATAATAAAAAAAAGGGTGTTTTACAGAGCAGTGTGAACATTAGTTAAAGAGGTACTCCAGTACCCAAAATATCACCACCCATTGAATCTGACGACCACATTCAAAAAGGTTCCCATAACTCCCCCATTCATTTGCTACATATTCACATTCCTTACTCTCAAACTCTGCCGAGCAAAGAAAAATACCAAGTTCTTCATGGTATGGGGGAATATGTGATCACTACACTTCCTCCTACATGACAATGCTGGTATGTGTTTAGCCAGTGAATTGGCTGACCCACTGACTAATACTTTGAGCCACTGACCTGGACCAAGTATGCAAATCAGAAATGATAAAAGTCCTTTTTAGCTTACTTGTTCCAGTTCAGTAACTCAAATTATGGAAACAAAAGGGTCAGACAGCCAGGCAACTAGTATTTTTAGAAGTAGAGATTAGTAATGGTAGCCTACATGTTCCTGTATTGATGGACTTCTTTTGAAGCAAGCCCTTTCTAAAAGGTGCCCATACACCTTACAATTATCTGCAGATTTTCTGTGGTCAGATGGAAAAAGTGCAACAGATTGGCCCAG